AGGAGCAGGACCCGAGTAATGACCCCTTCATCCTGCCCTGCTAGTGAGTTTTGCTCCACGTCACACAAGTGGGAAGAGAGTGTGGGGCCACTGGGAGAAGACATATAGAAATCACCAAGTGGGCAAGGGTAAAACTGCATGGGAAGAAAATAGGAGTCCACAAAGGCAGAAAGGACGAGATGGGGATGATCAGCAGCAACATGAGAACGGGAACTGGAGAGCAGCGAGGAGCACGTGGGAAATGTTGACCCTGGAAAGGAAAGGCTGGTGAATAGGTCAGGTCAGTGGAAGGAAGGCAAAGCAGGGAACAAAAGATGAGAGCAGATACAGGCAGCAGCCAGGTGGGAAAGACAAGAAGCTAGAGAAGCTCAAAGTTGACAAGGGATGAAGGAAGGCAGAAGGGATGCTGGGTGAAGGAATTATTTCTAGGAAAGAAGTTACTCTGCTTCTGACTCTTCTGATCATTTCACTCTGTCTCAGTATTTTCATTTCTAATGGGGCTCAGTGATGAGTCTTACTGAGGGCTTCAGGAATACTATGCATAAAAACAAAGAATAGATTGGAAGATTTTCATACGAATTTATGTGGCTGTTTATTTATAAAAGGCGAACCTAACCAATCTGTGCAGTTCAGCTTTAGTAACAATGGAAAAGGTGGTGCCCACAGGCCACTTTTCCAGCGTGCTTACCCTGCAGTTCCACTCGTTCCCTCGACAGTTGCCAATGGCTGAACTGCTTCCTTCGACTAGGATTTAGGACATAGGGAAATAAGTCATATTCTCTGTCTGCAAGTTGTTCAGAGACCACGGAAAAGACAGACACTTAAAAATAACAATGTGTTGAGAAGTGCTGTGAAAAAGATACTGTAACAGGTACACGGAGGTATAGGAGAGGGCAGCCCCTAGCCATTTCCCACTCATACCCCCATCCATTAGCTCAGTTGGTTAATTTCACCTGGAAAGCCCCTTTCCCAGCCCTGATCCCCAAGCCACATCTGTCAAAGTCCCGACCCCTCTTCAAATCCTAGGTCAGATGTCATTTTCGTGCTAAATTAGTTCCTGATCTTAGAAGCTGGAATTAATCTTTCCATTCTACGTGCTTCTATAACACTATTTATATCTGTATTTTAACATTTCTCTCCATTAGTTCCTTTTCTAAAACTGTGTATGATGAAGGTATATATATACACACACACACACATATATATACGCACACATATATATATATACACACACACAGATATATATATACACACAGATATATATATATGTATATATATATACATATATATATATATCACTAGATCATAACGTTCTTTGATAGTAGGGTTGATACCTGATTCATCCTTGGGTCTCCCACAGGCCTGAGCATGGAGGTTTATTAAAACACATTTAAGGTCTAATGAGGTACAAGTTCATTTAGATCCATTAATCTGCAGCCTCTTTTAGGATACTGAAGTGAGTGCCCTCTGCTTCATTCTGGCAATCGTAAGTCCTTGTATGGACATGCCAAAAATAATTTATTGTTTTGAAGAGGCATAAAAGAAATGACCTTTAGACCTATATGATCCAATCATTCTTTCCATCTCTTTCTATAAATTTGAACAAATAACAGGCAACAAAACAAAAACCTCAAATTAATTAAATAATTTTTAATCTGAAAATGACTCTATTTCATTTAATCCAACATCTTAATTACAAGTGAAGAAACTATGTCCTGAGAAATTCAGATACTTCTTCGATATCACACAGCAAGAATCAACAACAAATTTTAAGACCCTTAAGTTCAAGGCTCTTCCCAATAGACCAAATAGTTTACCTTTAATAAAAAAGAAAGAGCATGGTTAATAAAAAAAGGAACAACACTAAAATATACAGAGAAAAAGAATTCATTGAAAAGCAATATACACTACAGAAACAAATTTTCCTATCAGTTTATTTGTCTCCAGAGAAAATCATGCTTTCACTAACATCAGTGAAATGTCTGTAGAAGTTTAAATATTTAATTTAAAAATCTGACTTTTGTAGTTTCCAGATCCTTTACCCTTTGGACATCAAATGATTCTATAAAGTGAGCAATTAGCATTATTCTGAGGTTCTTTTCCCAGATATTTCAATATTTTTGGGTGGCATTGGTCATTAACAGGTGTTAGTAACAGTTGTGGAAGGAAAATAATACATCAAGGCTCTGTTCAGAGGTGCAGATTCACATATGTTCCCTCCCATCATGACTTAGGCAAATGCAGCAGGTGCACTCAAATCTGACATAGTTTACTCCATCCCAGTTCTGCTATCGTTGCTTGACATCCTGCCTTTTCCCTGCCCTCGCCCATGTCCCACTGCCCTGTCCCCATCCTGACAGATCTGACCTAGTCTTACAGACACCCCAATTGAGCACATGAGCACGCACACACACACAAACACAGAACAGGTTGACGCACTATATTCGAATTGAAAACTTACAGAGTTCCAACTCTAAATGTGTATATACATATATATAGAAGACTTACTGGGTTCCAACTCTAAATATGTGTGTGTGTGTGTGTGTATGCCAGATATGTAATATGTATACATATAAGTGTCTGTCTATATATAATTACTCGATAAAGACTGCCTAGTTTTAAAAATTCTCTCATTCACTGTGAAGGATGGTGTGTTAGAGAACACCCCCACTGCTCTGCACTTCACAAGGACCCCTCTGGGGCACAGGGACAGTGCATGGGTTTGGCAGCTACATGAGGGCTTAACTACTTGTTCTGCCACTTACTACTTATGTGATCTTCAGAAAATTACTTAACCTCTCTGAACAATGATTTCCTTTATTTCTAAAAGGAGGATGTTAATACCTACTCCATGGAGGTGTTAGGGTTTAAGGTAATGCGTGCCATGGGTGCTATGTGGTAGTGCTCAGTTAATAACAGCTACTGTGATGACAGTGACCATAAGAGGGAGGAGGAGGAGGGGAGATGGTGGCCCCCACTGTCTGAATGCCTTCTGTATTTCAGAATTTCTCGGCAAGGCTGGGCAGAACTTGACTGCTAGTCTTTATCTGAGGAGTATCAAGCTCGAGATGGAGATAGAAGAACCAGCTGGGGATTCCATGAATGGTTAGCATTTAATATGTGATTTTTCTGTCTTTAGCTTACATATACATACACTTAATGTCACTTCCACTGCTGGGAAAAGGGCGTTTCACAGTGGTGAACTCAGCATCTTTTGAGGAGTCAAGGCTATTTTTTTTCGTTTTGCTTAGCAGGACTGGACTACACAAAGCTGGGTGAACAAATTCTTGTGTCCCCCATGATGGCTAATCATAGAATTTCCAGTTGTAGCAGCAGGCCCTGGCTATTTGCTCCCTCCCCCCATCCCCACCTGCCCCAGCAATTCTAGTAACTGTGAGATACCCTATAGATCACAGAACAAATGCCCAGCTCCTTCCTGGAGTCACAGAGTCAGAATACACTGCCAAGCCACTAGCAGAGCTGCTTGCTATGGTCTGGGCTGTCCAAAGTACAAGGAAGGAGGAGCCCCAACCTACCCTGCACATGACCTGAATGACAGCCATTTAGAGCCTGCCGAAGATGCCATTCTGTTTGCAAACACACATACCTGCCATATCACTCAACAAAATAATTCCATCAGAAAGCCTGAAGGCAAATGACTAATGTCAAAGGTGGCCCATATATCATTTTGGTGATGGCTCCACAAGCGTCAATTAAACATGGAAAAGACCTGTTCTGAAGCATGCCCATCTGTCATTTCCTAAGGAGCTGTAGTAAATGTCTGGTAAAATGTAAGTAATGTAAGTAAATGTAAGACCATATCTATAAAGAAATTTAGCAGTCCTCTCTTTGCTCAAAAGCAATCAGGTCCTGTGAGGACAATGAACCTGGAAGATCTCCAAAAGAAAAGGAAAGTAAAGAAAAGCCTGCATTTGAAGCCAGCACTGCTTTTCCTCATACACAGAAAGCAAAGATCAGGATTTGCATGAGGTCATCTCTTTAAGCACCAAAAAAGCAGACTGGTCCAAGGAATGTTTGGGAGTTTGTCTGGCAGTCTAGGGGTGAACTTCAATTGTTATGTCTCCAAATGAGAGAAGGAATTGGCAGTATTCCATCCCCTGCTGCTAGGAGTGCTTTCCAAGTATCAGCACTGTAGGACTTTGCTTAGTACGCTAGGCCAAGCTCACTGCCCTAATATCCTTCCCTAGAAATGATACTTTAACTACCTTTTGAGTGGAAGGAAGAGGACACATCTAACAAATGATATCAACATAGAAAACCTCCAGTAGAGAGGTTTTAGCACAGTGGCTGGAACAGAAGTGCTTTTCAAGGCTTTTCAAGGCTTTAGTTCTAGATCAGTCAGGCAGACACCTGTATATATTTAGACAAAGCTTCAAACACCACAACCTCATCACACCTAATGACTGCCTGTGATGAGATCTTGCATTCTCTATTTCTGGCTTTTCCAACAACAAAAATATGTGTCTTTATAATCAGTTCTGATTCTGAACCTATTCTCTAGTTCTCTATTGATTGTTTGTTTCTTTCTCCAATATACAAGGTCAGATAAACGAGAAAGGAAATATTTCTCAATTTTAATTTTGATCCAGATCTAAAAGTGTTAATGGCTTTTTATTCATTACCCTTGATTTCTCCTTTTTCCTTTAAGTGATTCAAGTAAATGTGCCTCTCACATACCCTGGCCCCAACATTAAGAAGGATAATATTCTTAGGATGAGGCTATCAAATGTAAACAATACCAAACGAACAAAAAATCACAAGCAAAAACAGCGGTGCTTCCATTCTCCTGAGTCCCTTAGCCAATGATGCAGTGTACTTAAATCTCTTTAAAGCAGCTGCTTCAGTGTTAAGTTTTTGGTTTGGAAATAAAAAGGGGTCATTGACAATTTCTCAGCACAATAGAAAAGCAACTCAACCCATTAATAACGCTAAAATGGCAGAATTAAACACAGTGGGAACAAGTAGGAATAGAAGAATACCTGGGATTGCCAGATTGGAAAGGGGGAGGTTGTGGAGGTGAGGGGGCAGCGAGGCCATCCAGTCGGCATTGCAGACCTCCGATGATGTCTTTGTCCCGCTGGGGTTGGGGGAGCAGATGGTCCCCATTCTGAGTTTCCTCCTTGCCTTCCTAAGTGCTAGCATCCCTCTTGTCAACAAATTGGCCAGTCTCAGCCCAGTGCCACTCACTCAGTGATCATCACTTCTCGGGCTCTGTAGACATTTCAGAGCCACCTTTGTCGCGACAGTCTTTCCAAACCGGCTTTCTGGCCGGGAGAGGGGCAAATAGGTGGTTCCCTACTCCCCAGCACCCGCAGTCCCTACCCTCTCCGGCCCAGCCTCTGCTGCGCTCCCTTAATCTGCTCAGTCCCTGCTTCGTTAAACTTCTTACGTTCCCCTCTGGAGACGGGGGAAGGTAGGCCCCTAGAGATAAATCTTACAGAAACTGAACGTCCGAGGAGCAGCCACGCCCGGAGCCACTCACACGACAGGTGCCCACACAGCAGCACACAGACATGCCTGTGGGTCTGCACACATGTGTGCGACCGGGCGCAGCATCTCTGGCCTGATGTATGCTTCTATATATGTCACTGGGCTGGTTCATAGGCTGGACCTGCCTGAGGCTCCCTCCCTCCCCCGGCTCCTCCGCACAGACGCCCCCTGCCCTGTGGCTTCCTGAAAGGCACTCAGAAGTGTAACCGGCGGCACCCGACTCCCGGCAGCCCCGCCCCGCACTGCCGGGCAGATTTGCCGGGCTAGGCGGCCGGTGATTGGCCGCTGGCGGAGCGCGCTCCGATTGGCCGGCGCGCTCCGGGCTGCCCCTCTGTCCCGCTCCCACGCCTCCGCTGCTCCGCAGTCTCCTCCCCCGGTTACTCCCGCCCGCCGGAACGCCGCTGCCGGCCGGGCTGTGCTCGTGGAAGCTTGCGGGCTCCGGCCCCTCGACCCTCAGATGGGTCTTCTTTCTTCCATCCTTTCACAGTCTCCACTCAGATGTTCAACGCAACCACTAGGTTCCCTTCCTTCCTTCTTTCCCCTACACACACACACACACACAGACGCACGCTCTGTGGCAATTACACAGAAAGCGTTACATTCATTGTCCGTAAACCACAGGAGCAGCAGAAACATGAGCGGTAAAGAAGCTGAGAAAGGCGCTGTACTGCATGTTTGTATGACAACATCAAGGACGGTTTGTGTTTCAAGCGTTATATAATTAAGATTCACCTACGAGCTTCTATGCAGCAGTTCCTTGCTTATTCCCGTTTTACAGAGGAGGAAATAATGATACCTTACATTTGTATTGCCCTGTTGTTTGGAGCCCTCTTTCAAATTCCGTGTCCCATTTGCTTTCCGCAGTACCCCCACAAGCCGTGGACAGTCGCTGATCTGATTCCCTTTAATACGTGAAATTGAGTCTGGCACTTCATGGGGTGGCACTATTTGGAAATCCCAATTTGGTATGAGGTCCTCTAGCCTGGAGGCTTGCAGGCACACAAACCCATTTCCCTGCTTTCTGCAACTGTTTCCTATGCTTTCAAGTGGTACTTTTCCGTGGTCACTGGCCACGGGGTCTCTGCTGATAGAGAACTTTGCACATTGAAAATCACAAGAATATCTTGGCAAATGGGCAAATCAAGAAAAGCACCCTGGCCTTAATGGCCCTGGAGGGTTTCAGGCCAGACAGATCCTCAATGACTCAGAAGAGCACTATGAGAGAAGGCAGTTTACCTGAGCTAAGAGAAGACTGAAGGCTCATACACAGATGTGTAGGTCAGCTGACATTTAATCACCAAATGGTTCCATCTCATCTCCTGAACCCCATAATATTACCAGTCAGTTATTATTGTTTTTTTGTTTTTTTTGGAGGGGGAGGTGTCTAGAGGAGTATCACTTGTCAATTAATTAAGTGTGTAATATTTATCATGTATCTTTTGATACTTAAACAGCAGTTCAATATAGTGCTTTTTTCAAGTATAACACAGTATATTGGCAATTTTTCATTAGGTGTTTAAGTAAACAAACGATGTTTTCGGTTTTTCCCTCACCATCCCAGAAAAATCACTTTGTGAAGGAATATCTTAAGATTTATTTCTGAATTGTCACCTTTCTGGGCTTCCTTTCAACTTGTAAAATATATATATTTTAAAATATCCAAAGATAAAGCTTTATGAAAGCTGCCTATGGCAAACAAAATGTGTGCTTTAATTCTACTGTGAAATGTTAATTTTAATGCTTTTCCCCCTATTTTCAGCTATTAATGGAAGAAGTGAGAATATTATAATAAGAACATATTAAACTTCAGAGACTTAGAGATATCACTGAGAACTTGAAAGCAAGAGAAGCAGAACCATTTCAGAATGAGATATTTTGCAACTCTATGGAGTTGGCAGCTTTTTCATTCACAACTACTTGATTTGCCCAAGAAAACAGTCCAAAAGGAAGGCAACAACCCTCTCTATATATTCCTGCATCAGTCCTGGAAAAACTCTTGCAGATTAAAGCACAGCATCTGATATAGCATTTGGCATATAGCAAGTGCTCAATAAATATTTGTTGGATGGAGAGATACTTGGTAAATGCTCTTGGTAAATGTTGTGGTCTACTGGGCTCTACACAGTGCCTTAGAGCAATGCTTTTAAAACTTTAATGTGTATTTCAGTCATATTCTGATTAAATTGATCTGAGGTGGGCCTGATATTCTGTATTTTCAACAAGCTTCCAGCCAATGCTGATGCTGCTTGTTCAGACTACACTTTGAGTAGCAAGGCCCTGAGAACAGGTCCATGTTTGATAGGTGGGAATATGCATTGCTTTTTCTCTCTCTTCCAAGGTTTTATAATATTTTTATATCGCTTTTATAATTAAAATACATTTATATTAATAATCTCAGCTAAATCTCTAAGAGAATACTTTTTCTGTCATATTATGTAATGGAAACCATATTATCAGTGGGATTTTTCTACTATGCCACAGATGTTTAGGAAAAATAATTTTTAAAATAAAAATTAATATTTAGAATTTGGATAGTTAATATTTCTATAATACTATTTATGAAATTTATCAAAAAGAGAGAAGTCAATTAATAGGAAGACTGAAATTTTACAGTTAATTTTATTTATTTTTATTTCAGAATATCATGGAGGTACAAATGTTTTGGTTACATGATTTGCTTTTGTGTAGTTTGAGTCACTTATGTCTGTGCCCTTCACCAAGATAATGTGAATTGTACCTATTAGGTGTGAATTTACCCACCCCCTCCTCTTCCTTCCCATCTTCTTGGTTTCTGTTCAGTTTTACTACTATATGTGTACATGGATATTGATCAATTAGTTCCAATTTAATTTTAATGATGAATTACAACTAAACAGAATATTTATTATATATAAATCATTCTGGTAGGTGCTAGGAATAGAAAAACAATTAAGGGATCCTCAGATTGTATATAATCCAGTAGGAAAGAGAAGAAAATATGTAAATTACAAATCATAATATGAGGCAGAATAAAGGGACAATGGAGTGGGGGGAGAAGAATTAAGGTAAACAGAGGGGGAAGACAGTAAAGAGGTATATATTTTGATGGGGGAGGGGTGCTTTATTAGAGGAGGTGGCATTCAATCCAGGTATTGAATTAGAAAAATTTCTGCCTATGGAAAATGGATGTGTTCTGGGGGTTGGGGGGAGGATTGGAATAGGAGAGGCATATGTAGCTGAGAAAACATAAGCAAAGCAATGAAAATGAGTGGTAGGTATGAGAAATGGAATACTAGAATGGCATGTGGGCTAAGTGGGAAATATAACTCATTTACTCTCATTTAATCTTTACAAGAGCTCAATGAGTTAGGTGCTATTACCATTAGCATTTTATAAAGGGCACTGAGGCTGAGAGGCTACCTAACCCTGTCTAAGATCTCATAGTTAGTGGCATAGCTATGAGACCCAGGTTCTTGATCACTCATTGCATGTTACCTACTATTGTAAACCTGGAAAAGGCTGTTTATAACCAAAGCATATTAAAGAGTTTGCACTTTTTTTTCTATTGACAAAAGGGGTCATTGCAGGTTTTTGAAAAGGGGAGTAAAATGACTCACATTGTACTTTAGCAAGGTAACTATAGCAGAATGGAGAATGGTTGGGGAAAATGAGTCTTTCAGATAAATCACTGAAATCAATTATCTAAGCAGGAACAAGCAAAAAAATATGCAAAAGGCCTGGCACACAGACACTAAATACACAGCCTTTCTTGACTCTAATACTTACCTCCCCATCCTTACTTCATGCCTCCAAGGACCCATAATTCTAGGGCCTGAGTGGGAAGATTGCCTACCTCTGAAATTATTTTTCATCACTTGACAGCCTCAACAAACCATTCATCCATTTTTATTACATACAACCAAACCTGTTTCTAAAAATACATCTATAAATTGTGTTGTCTATGATGGAATTTTCTTACCCATTATTTGATCAAGGAACCCCGAATTCCTGAAGAACTGACTACAGCCTTTACCCTCTCTTTGGAGACTCCATTATATTTTGGAGTGTCTACATTGTAAAAAATGGCTCCTTTTGTTTGGATTCATGTCATAAAGGAATAGTGGGGTCCCAAAGCAAGTGCCTCAACAGCTGACCATTTGGGCACAACTGGTTGGCAGGATAAGCTGACCCAGATTGTACTTGATTGAAGGCACCTAAGGAGCCTCAAAGGCAGCATATTGCCTTAATGATGTTGGGTCTGGGGCTGTGTCTGGCCCCCAGAGCTAAGACCCTGTGCAGCCTCACCACCCAGGCCATGTGCCAGATGGGGAAGGAGCAGACCCCACACAGAATCAGGATCCATTCAGGCACATGGCTGGTCCAGGGACATTGCCCAGAGGTGAGTGAGGTTATACAATGCTTTGAGTTTCACAGTGGTGTCTCATTCACAATTTTTGTCTTTCTCTGGCTGGGAAGTGAGGTGGGTGGGGAAGGAATAAATGAAAGATTTGGGATGGAGTATAAGCTATTTTATTCTGTGGCCTCCTACCAGCAGAATTTACTCTTCATCATTCCCAGCCTCCTTTCCTCAGTTCAAACCCAAAACCCTGTGATAAGGATCAGAGTAAAGTAAGTGTCACCAGCATAGGTGGTGCTGGGGATCTCATGACAGCAGCAGCAATTCCTCCAGGAAGAGTGACATCATTGCAGCAACTGGGGACCTTCAGGATCCTCCCAAGAAAGAGAGGTACCAAGGTGCACTGTCTGGTGAACACATGATACACCTCACACATTCTTCACATTAGAGGCAGACTCAGGGGTTTGGGATCCAGTTATTTTGTTGATCAGGGTAGAGAGCCAGAGATCATTGTTTTGTTAGTTATTGTGACACATTCCCTGATTATACCCAGGTGGTGTATCCTTGGGAAACTGGGTAAGGGAGAAGCAGCAGCTTACACAGGACGTAGTGGTATTGATGTTACCTCATGCCCACCTGTATTCAGGGACCCAGAGCTGGGATTCTGTAACAAGAGACCAAAGTGAATGGTGGCAGTGGCCGGCTGTAAGACTGTTTCTCCCAGCTTTGGAAGCTCAGTGTTCAAGAAGAAACTCTATGCTTTTAAATGTATTGGACTTGAAGTTTTTCTGGTATATTTTAAAGAAAATTTCCTTAAACAACAAATTTCCTTTTTTTTTTTTCCTTTTTTTTATTAGAGATAAAAACAGCAGAGTCCCACTATAATACTTTTGAGAGGAGCTACTAA